CCCCCCCCCCCCCCTATATATGGCGCCATGTATGTGACGATTGGCAGATAGGTATGTGGATCGCGACCCATTCGAGCTCCGGTCACCTTATACGGCGCTGTATCTGCTCTCTTGTGTAGTTGTTAAAGGCGATCTCGTGGTTGCCGGCGATGACGAGCTGACGGTAAGGGGGCGCCAAGCGCAGAGAGGGAGCATAGTTTCGTGAAATAGAGAAGAAAAGAAAGCAGCAAAAGGTAAATAAATAAACACGAGACACAAGCAAAAATAAAAAACGAAGGAAAACGCAGCAAGCGACGAACATACCACGACGGCAACAGAACGCACAGACGCGGAACCGACGGGTACACGAACAACGCGAAAACACATATATACGCAAACATCACAAAACCAGCTCGGCAACAGCTGCAAAATAAAAAAACAAGCAGAAATGCGTAGCCGCATATACGACAACAGTCGAACGTTCACCCGAACCATGTCACAGCTCGAGACATGGCGCACCGCCCCAAAGGTTTTGCGGCAGCATGTCATTGCGTTTTGGAACATGAGCTCGTCGCGACCAGGGCAGAAAATCGAGCGAATAAAGCACACAACAGCAGTACCATCTGCAACTTCGACTGCCCGACAACCAAACACCGCCGAGACCTAGACCAACAATACCCTCCCTACCTTGTGCGGGTGCCCCAGAGAGCCCAAAAACCGGTCGAAATCCTCCACGGCTGCCTCAAAGTCTCGCTGCTGAAGCTTGGTCGAAAAGTCGCCGCAGTGAATCAGTATGTCGCCGTCTTGGAGCAGGATGTTTTCGTCGTCAAATCGCGCAGGCGGGCGCATGAAATCGCCGCGCGCAGAGACGGAAGCACACAAGGAAACATCGACGAAATTAGCTTGTGGGGGAGACAAAAAACCTATTTCTACGTGCATCCTGCGTGTCTCCGCGCGATTTTTTCAGGGATGCAAACAATAGACAAATGCACAAGAGTCAGCATCGTTTCGTCCGTCAAAACTACCGATCGATGTCAACCAAAAAATAACGGCTCTCACGACGCTGGTATCAACCAACGCAAAAAAATGCAAAAACAAAACGCAGCATCAGCATCTGCGCCGCTGCCACCGAAAACACACGCAAAACCGAGCCCGCCAAGAGCAAATTAGCGCGATACGCGAGGCAACAAAACTACAGTACTTCCAAAGTGTATACAACACCCACGGGCCAACGGCACACACACGACTCGTCTTCCATTTGTCAGTCGGCTACGATTTTGATGCACCATTAAACACACCATACATACCCGGTATCGTGTGCCGCATGGCGTGGTGTTTGCCGTGCGTGTCCGAAAGGCAAACGACCCTCAGCTTTCTACCTCGGGACTTGTCACCGCAGCACACAATGTCCGGGGCTCCTGCTTGACAAACATATGTCCAGGCAAACGACACGGCAGGGTCACACTTGGGGGTGTCAATCGGGCAGATTTTGGAGTCAAAAATGTGACCGGTCTATTCAGCGATTTTGGTGGGGGGCACACGGATTGGGTTATTTTTCGGCTCTTGAGAGTGCCCGCCTATTGTACTGATTAAACAGTACATCACTTAGTTTGTTTCTGCAGGTGTTCTGCGCCCAGGCAGCAGCGTGGCTCTTGATACGTTACACACTCCTGGACACAAGTCCAATAGAGGCGACTATAAGCTTGGTTTTCTCTTCAAGTTCAAGGGCCGACGAACAACACCAAAAAACATGTTTTTTCTAGCTCTTTGCTCCACGCCCAAGGCGACCTTTGCTCCTCTCTAAAAAGCGAGCTTACAGCCCTCTACCTTGGGTTTACAGCTATACCACACAACAAACCGCATCCGAATCGCATCAGCCAACCACGAGATCTATATGTCTGAAAATGGCCCCTCCAGTGGGGCTGCAGCGCCCACACCAGCAGACCCTCCCAAAAAAAAAAAACGAGGTCCGCGCCGTTTGGCAGCACGAGGCGCGCTGCGCGAAAGCTGAATCAAAACAAAACGAAGTTTGAAGAGAGGACGGGGCAGCGTATGGTTGCCGCGTCAGCAGAAGATAACACGCGGCGCGCTATCGAACGCGGCAGCCTCACCGTCGTAGAGAGAACGCTGGAGGACACGAAGGAGGAGTTGGTCAAAAGTAAGAAAATTGTGGACGAGAGCCAGGCTAGCTGCAGCATGGCGATGGAGTTCGCGCGCGAGAAAGACGAGGAGCTCAAGTGGGAGCAGGCACGGCGGCGGCAGGTGCCTGCATGGCTTCACCGCCCGGCCGCTGCTCGGGTGTCATGAGGCATGTGTTCTAGAGTGGGACCGCGCAAAGGTGTTGTGTTGTGTCCCACAGCAGAGCACATCAGAGCACACACACGAGCGGCGCCCTCGCGCGTGCGCGTCAGGTGTTTTTAGGGAGCTTTCGGACCGTTCCGTGCAATTTCATTGGTCAGTCGATTTTTCATCAGGAAGATCCGAGGTCGCTTTTACAATTTTTTCCGGTAGGAAATTTGCTGCTTTGACATCCCTAACAGTATGGTACGTAAATACGTAAAAACGTGCTGCAGTCGGCCACTAGACATGCTTGTGTGATCGTGCCTCTTCTACGCCCGTTTGCGGCCTACGTGACAGACGGCACACCCGACACCAAACGATGACAAAAAACAACCCCTTCGCATGCTGCCGTCTTGCTTCCAAGTTTGGTGCTTCGCGCCTTTGTCGAGTGTGTGGATTGTCGTTCGGCCCGTTGCATTGCCGCTGCTGGCGCCGTCATTCATTGCTGCTGCTGGCGCCGTCATGTCTGAGTCTGCAGCGGAGTGTTGTTTCAATTTCAATGGCAACAAACACTGGGTGCAGGATATATGGCTCCCATCGCTGCGTTGGGCTTTGGGGTCGCTCTTGCCACCCGACCTCTTTATTGGAGGCGCACACGACTCCAGAACCTACGTGAAACACGCGTGCGGCTACAATACGTCGCGTAAGAACCACACCACCTGGGCCGAACTTCAAATCTCGATCACTTCGCGATGAAGAGGATGCCAATATGAACGGTACCTTGTGGGAATGCTCTCGACGAGACGGCACACAACAACACCAACATTTTCGGCGCCTTCGCCGCCGCTTGCTCAGAGTAGTTGAGCTTATCGGTCCAGGCGGAGTTAGTTGTACCTCGTGCGACCAACGGTATGTAGATGCAGCTTCCATGAATGCTATCTCCGCCACATGGACTCTTTCTATCGCTCTCACTTCCTCTTCCTGTCGATGATGGGAAGCAGCGCTACTACTTGATGCATCCCTTCCAAAATGTTGGGCTGGCTTCATTCCCCCTCGTGTACTTTGGGTAAAAGCCCGAGGGGGATGTAGCTACCCTGTTGTCGCCATAGGTCCACTCCCTCTTATCCCCCCCCTCCCCCCCCCGGTGTTTTGCCATCGGGGTTGGGTTTTCGTCGCNCAACCAGGTTACCGTTATTATTTTTTACCTCCGGTTTTTATGGTGGTCGAGTAGATCATGTTGTGCGGGGTGGAGAACCCTCACTCCGCGCAAGGGGGATGATCGCACCACGTTGTGT